CTATCTGATCCTTTTCTAATGTATTCAAACATAAATATTCAGCTAATTAATTATAAATAAAGAAAGCTGTTGAACACAAAGGCTCATGAGTTGTCCCTTGTCCCCGATCGATCCATGCATGATATATTTTAGCCTTTTGCATTTAATTCCCTCTCCCTTTCCGGTACGTCTCTATCTTTTTCTAAGGCATAAGCATGCCGTTAAACTCCAAAACAGATGAAAAGAATATGGTTGGTATCATGACTTTGTTAATAAAAAACACAACCTAATTACCTAACCATGTCTTAAAAATGGACTTAATCTATGGACACCACACCATGCTAGCGAGCTACTCCCTTTGTTCTCTATCATCATTTATTGTCTTGTTTTAAAAAAAGAAACTTATACTTGTTCATATATTAAATTCATTTAATCATATTTTAAAATTTTATCTAAAAATTTAAAATTTTAAATTAAAATGATTATTTGATATGGTATCAAAATCTTGATGATTAAATAATTACGATTTTAAATTTCATCATCTCAATTTATTTAACAAAAAAAATCAAGCATAATGTAACGTGTATTTGTGCAATTTTTAAATCTAAAAGACTTTTATTTAAGGAGTGTATTAAAAAATAATATAAATCATATCTTAAAATCTTAATTGAAAATTTAAACTTTTAGGTTGAGATAATTATTTGATATTATTAAAGCATACATGATAGATAATATTTGAGATTGTGGTAATAATTGTTTTTTAAAATGCTTCTCGTTTTGAAATGTATTAAAATGATTATTTTTATTTTTTTAAATTTATTTTTAATATTTTGATATTAAAATGATTTAAAAATTTTAAAAAATAAAAAAATTGCAAAAATACATTTTAATAGCAAAAATAAAAACACTCCCACAAGTACTTGAAACACGTTCAATTTGGAATTAGAAATTACCAGCTAGTCAGAATAGTTTGTTAATTGTTATCGTCTTCGTTTTTCGTGTCTTTCTTCTTCTTCTTCTGCTTTCTCATTTTGTTCATCTTTATTTTTTTATCGATAAAAAACCTGTTTGATTGGACATCTTCTTTCATTATTTTTTTCTTATAAAATACTCAATAGAATACTCGAATTATTAAGAGATCGTGCTCCAATGTTGGGGGAATATGTTCCTATCCCTTATCCAAATCTCTACTTAATCTTCGACCGACCACTACTTAATCTTCGACCACGTTGATGTCAACCGAAATACCTTAAACCTAGTTTGATAATATAATAAAAAATATTATTATGATAATATTTTTTGATGAAAGGAAATGAAAGTGATTTTTTTTTAATTTTTTAATTTTTAATATTAATACATTAAAATAATTGAAAAACACCTAAAAAATTATATTGATATTATTTCATGTGAAAAATATTTAGAAAAACAGATTAAATTGCAAAAAAAAACTCCTCTTAAATATCCTAGACTTTTGTTTGAGATAGTGTTTTAACGAAGATTTTAACTATCAATATTATTACAAGTATCCTAGTTAATTTTGGTACTTTAAATCTGATTCTATTACAACATATATAGCCTCAAATCTAATCAAATAAGGGCTCATCCCACTCCTCAAGTGCATTGAAGATGTCATCCTGTTTTTGTTAGTGAGGTCTATTTATTTTTATATTTTAAAAATATTTTAAGATATTTTATTTTTTTTATTTTAAGTTAATTTTTTAATATTTTTAAATTATTTTGTTACACTGATATTAAAAATAATTTTTTAAAAATAAAAAAAATATTATTTTAATATATTTTTAAATAAAAAATACTTTAAAAAATAATTACATTTACACTTTTACATAGTTAGTAAAACGCAGATCAAAATGGATCCCCCACCTGATTCTTGACTGCTTCAAACTTAGTCTGGCTCGAGCCTTAAGTGCCTTGAACATAGTCTACTTGACCGTTGAATGTTGCAGACCAAGTGCTTGCTCAATTCTCAAGTGCTTCAGACATGGTCCGCCCTGACATTTGAACACTTCGAATCTCGTCCAAACTCTAGATGCCACAAGTGGAGCCCCAACCGAACACTAAACACCTTAGACCCGACCTCGACTTCACCTTATGGTCTCAGACTTGTTTCTAGCTTGTCCTTCAAGCACCCTAACCTGGCTTAACCCCAAGCATCTTGAACCAGATTCTAGCTTGATCCATGGATGTCCCTGACTAGCTACATCTTGGCTTGATCCCGAGTGTACTTGACTTGGTTCTGGTCTGTTTCTTGGGCTCGAGTCTGACGTGTACTTGATACATACTCATTTGTTCAAGTCTCAAACCAAACATTACTCCTAAATCATAAACTCATAATATAAAAACTAGTTTCGGAAACTTTATAAGACATTTTTTTAATTGAAAACTTGTTGCTAGTTTTTATTTTATTAAAAAATGAAAATAAACAAATTAGTTTTCATATGTTGATTTCTTTTTCTATTGTTTTTTGTTTTTTTTTTAAAAAATGACACCAAACAACTCTTTATTTGTTCCTAGTAATCCATGGAATATGTTTAGGCAAAAAATCTACTTTATTGTAGTGGTAATTTTTTCTTCAAATATGAGGGTTTGATATGATTTGACCTAGAAAACTTGAATGCATACCTTAGTAGACAGAAGTCGTGGAACTATATATTTCATCCAAATCTTTGTTCCAAGGAAAAAAAAAACTTTATATAAGAAGAAGGCAGAGGATTAACTTAGTAATAATAGATGCATTTTTCACGTTAATTAGAAAAATTATTATAATTAACACTTGGATTCAAATAACCTTTTCTAATATCCAAGCAGAGAGGGATTTAATCTCCATACATGCATCACTAATAATCAAAGCATGCATACCCTTGCTTTAATAAGGAATAATTCAAGAAAATTACAGGAAGGCAACTCGTGGTTTACAACTCATTCAATGACCCTACAGAACTATTTTTCAAAACTCGTGGGGATAAAGAGTCCAAAACGAACTGGTAGGATAAAAGAAAACAATCAAACAAGAGCAGCAGGTCACCAGTCCATTAAAGGCTGTTTGGTCCCTTCCCTCGTTTTACACGTACGTGTTCTTTTATTTAAATTCCTTCCTCCACTCTCAATTATGAGCTCTTCCTATACAAATATGAAAAAACAATATTTTTGAAGAATATTTTTACTATTTAGTTTCTAAAAAAAGGTTCCTCTTTTCCATCTGCCCACTTGCTATATAGATATATGCACTGATTGGCGAATTTGAGTGGGCAGTGCTAGCTTATTGAGAGCTCGAGTACGATTCCAAAAGCTGCGAAAAGCAATCCTTATCCTGCTTTGTTAGGGTCTATTGACGAAGGCAACAATGAACAGTGCCCAAAAGCTTTTTGCCGTTCTTTGCTATCCACATGTGGACGATAACTTTTAAAAGTAAAATTAGAGGTCGAACCTGTCAATGTAAAATCTTTAGTGATCAATTTTGAGGGTAATTTAACAGCTTTTCTGTCTTTAAATTTATTTGTTAATAATTATAAATTTAAATTTGAAATAATTCAAGACTTATGTATTCATTAATTTAAAAATTCATAAGATTAGTTGGAATATATATAAGCTGGCTTGTATATTGATATTAATAAAAAATAAAAATCATTACTGATCACAGATTTATATAAATAAAAATGTAAGATTTGAATCAAGAACGTGCTTTCTTCTAATCAATTCTTTACAGCTTGATAATAAGGTCACTTGCTTTTGTGGGGGTTTCTTGACTTGGAAAATTGGAAACCCTAAATCATGTACAGTAAAAACTTTCAGAGAAATAATAAAAAATTTGAAACTCGGCCTAAATTCAGTTGTTACGCTTTTGGCAAACCAGACTTTGATCATAGCCATGAAATACAATCTTCAAGGCACCGCCATCATAATTTTGCTTAGTTTTATGGTGGAGACGTACCTTTTTCTAATGGCACCAGGGTGAATGTGAAAAAAAAAAAATTAATGGAGGGAAATTGAAAGGAAAAAAATAAATTTGCTTGTCATGATTACTATAGGAAAGGAAATGTTTATACGAAATTGTTGACATTTTTATAAAATTTCTCCAAAAGATTAAAGAAGTTCGCACAATTTGTAATTCAATTCTTACCCATGATTTATATTATTGCAGAAAATTACAAAGGGACAATGTTATTTAAATTATCAAGGGACAATGTATATGCTGTTGATACGATGATTATGAATACTAATTATTAAGGGATAATTTTTTTTTAATATTAGTATATTAAAATAATAAAAAATATTAAAAAAATTAATTTAAAATTAAAAAAATAAAATAAAAATATAACTAAATCACAGTACCGAACATTCCATAAGTCAACCCATTTTTCCAGGCCGTGTCATTTCAATTGGTCACTTCCTCGTTTTTACCAAGAGGAACAGAGAATGATAGAACTACGAGATCCAGTAGAAGTTACAAAATCGTTTGGCTATCAAGTAGTATTGGATACCTTGAGATCATCAATGATGTCTTAATTAGGACAAAAGCTCGACAGATCTGACATTATAATTTAAAGAACAACTTTATAATCCCTGCAAGGCCAGCCTCCATGAAATGTGACATATACAAATATTATATGCCTATCTTCAGCTCTCAAAATGCATACAATAAAGGAGGAGACAATGAAAAAGTTCATTTGAGTCACCTCCAAGAAAACAAACTTCAATTACTTATTATAATTATTTTTCTTAGTAGTGTTTGATGTTGCAGTAATTGTTTAATTTAAAACAAAATTAAATTTTTTGAAATTCACCCGCAAAAGCAAACGTGCTCTTTTATCATAAAATGTTGCCATTATTTCAGAATCAAACTCATGATGATTCCTATTTTTCAAAGCTAAGGGGGTTGTAATCATCCCCACATGCCACGGTGAAAAAGAATCAATCCAAGATTTCCTATTTTTCTTGTCAGAAGCTAAATAAATTAAAAGTTTATAGTACACTGTGAGACGTTCCATGCGAAACCCCACTCCCCCCTCTCTCTGGCCTTCTCATACATTATAAAAAAACTTGTCCAGGACAACTTTTTCTTCACTCCTCGTCTATTTCTCCAGACAAATTCCTAAATATCACAGAAGAAAACCCAGGATGGCTATCTTGTTCAAGCCCGAATTGTTTCTCTCGCTGTTTTTGTTGATATCTTCTTACCATACAGCAACAGAAGCTTCAAAAGTCGCCCAGAGCCTCAACTTCAACAGTACCTTCAGCAATGGTACCAGTAATGCTAGAGAACTTGCCGGCAAGTGCAACTGGTTCAGAGGGAAATGGGTTTTTGATCCTAAGTATCCTCTCTATGACTCAAATTGTCCCTTCATAGATCCACAGTTCAATTGTCAAAAGTATGGCAGACCTGATAGCTATTATCTCAAGTATCGGTGGCAACCTTTTGCATGTGACTTGCCAAGGTACCCTTGTTTTTTGCCCTCATGTTCAGGAAAAAGTGTATTTGTCTTTTCTTGGTATATATAAAAAAAATTTCATGTTAACATTTTCCAGGTTTAATGGGCTATATTTCTTGGAGAAATGGAGAGGGAAGAAGATTATGTTTGTAGGTGACTCGTTGAGTTTGAACCAGTGGATATCTTTAACGTGTTTGATTCATGCCTGGGTACCAAATTCAAAGTATACAGTGTTTAGGACAGATGTGCTATCTTCTCTTACATTTGAGGTAAGAATTTGAATTCCAGTTGCTGGTTACTTTAAATATTTCTCAACAATCATTACATTTAACCACTGCATGCAAGTCCTGTCCTTTTCTCTATACCTTGTTTGAAGGTAAAGTTGTCGTGCTAGATGCTAAGCTCTGGTCTCCCTCTCTTCTTGTCTTTCTCTTGTGTTCTGGGCTGTTAGTGTGTGGAGTTTTGAGCATTAGAACGATTCTTGTTACAGTAATAGTTGTATATATGGTAACAAAAACCAATTAAAAGAATTTTTATTTTTTTATTTTCTGAAAATCAAAAGAGGGAAAGTTTTGGTGAACATAATTGGTAGATTTCTTTGTAATTTATTTTTTAATTATGTTCCAGCCAATACTATTGCATAATATATTTAAGTACAGAGACAAAACTCCTTGAGTTTTAACTTCTCTAATTCGTTTGTGGTAACCTTTAATTCCTTGATTTACCAATGAATCATTGTCTTATTTTGCCTTTTGGAATCAAATGTTGTTTCCTACTCCACATAGAAATGCCCTTAAACCTTTCCTAGAGTTTTTGCTAAAGGTAGAGAGAAATATAGTTACATACGAGACAAGGATTGTTTGTGATTACGATATGAGTATTTTTTTAAATAATATTTTGTTTGAAAATAAATTTAAATATTTTTGTTTGAATTCTTTTTGTTTTTTATATTAAAATGTCAAAATCATAAAAAAAATATGAATTTAATACTTCTTCAAGTAAAAAATATTTTTTTAAAAATAAAAACAAAAAACATGCTAAATATCCGCTAACTCATAACAATTATGTCTTTTGAGTTGAGTAAAGCTCACTAATCAATTATTACTCCAACGAATCTACTCTAAACATGTTTCAATTAGCGACAATTACGGTCATAATCTCTAGCATGGGCGTCTGTCTTAACTTGTTATTTTCTTCTGGAAAAATCTTTTGGAGTTCATACTAATTAATGTGGACCTTCTTTCTTTTAAAATCTAAATGGTGGCCTGAATTAGAAGGGTTAGTATAGTACACTTTGATCCGTGTTAGCTACAAGTTGGCACTTTCAATTTAAGGACCACTTGAGGTATTAATCAAGCATCTCTACATAGTTCTCTTCTTATGTGGCTTTTCTTACAAGTTATAATTCTGCAATATGACAGGTACTGGACCCCCTTCTCTATTATTGCAAATCACTGTTTACAAAATTGATAAAAACATGTTATAGGCATATGATAAAAACATCATGATCCCATGGATTTTTGGGCAGGACTACGGAGTCAAGATACTGCTATATCGAACGACATACCTGGTGGATCTTGTCAATGATAAGGCAGGACGAGTATTGAAGCTTGATTCGATAAACAATGGCAACGCATGGCTAGGCATGGACATGTTGATCTTCAACACTTGGCATTGGTGGACCCATACTGGAAGATCTCAGCCGTAGGTCAACCTGGCTTGTGATATTTTCATTTTGATCTACATGGCTAATGCGTTTCTATGTTTTACAGATGGGATTATATCCAAGAAGGGGGTAAATTGTACAAAGATATGAACCGGCTAATTGCATTTTACAAGGGACTAACCACCTGGGCTAGATGGGTCAACCGAAATGTTGATCCTTCTAAAACCAAAGTCTTCTTCCAGGACGTTTCTCCTACGCATTATGTGTAAGCCTTTCTCCCCTCTGCCTTCCTAGTTCTTAGTTGTCATGGCGGTGAATGGATGGTTCCTGTGCGTCATCAGGAAGAAACTATGTTTTTTTTTTTCTGATGAACAAGGTTTCCTCCGGCCCCTTCCGGGTCAGGAGACTAATCCTTGGCATGGCTCGAGGGCGCGACGTATAGCGAGCACCACTACCATGCGCGAGGCTCGAAACCATGTTGATGTGATAATGTTCATGTTAATAGATTCATTGACGCGAGCCTTTTAGCGTGTCTTTCATCAATATTATAGCATTTTAGTACCTCGGCAAATAATCTTACTTTATTGTTGTTGCTAAAATAGGGGCGGGGATTGGAATGAGCCATCAAAGTCATGTGCTGCTGAGACACAACCGTTCTTTGGAACAAGGTACCCAGCAGGAACACCGTTAGCTTGGGCTGTAGTTAACAAGGTTTTGAGCAGGATTCAGAAACCAGTCTACTTATTAGACGTGACCACACTTTCTCAGTACCGAAAAGATGCACATCCTTCGCGTTACGGCGGCGACAATGGTGGCACAGATTGTAGCCACTGGTGTCTACCTGGATTGCCTGATACTTGGAACCAACTTCTATATGCAGCCCTCTTCGGTTGATTGTGCTTAAATGGCATTCATTATACATGGTGTAATCTAGTCATTTTTTTAGATGATCGATCATTGTTTCGATGATGGTACGTACAGGAGTTTATTCTTGTTCTCAGAGCTAGTGCCTGTTGGCAATAATGAGAGTTGTGATTCTTCAATTGTAAATTTAGATTATTGTGCTGGCAATGAGATTGCCATGAAATGAAAGAAATACGCTCCAAATCAAAAGGCCTGTTATGGAGATTGGAGATGATCTTTCAAAAGTGTTTAGTAACTTGAATGAAAACAGTAATAGCCATGACCTATAAACCTTTGGTGGATCAAAACTTATGGTAGCTATGAACGATTTCTTTTAAAATTTCATCATGTTAATTTATTCTTTTAGTTTTTATTATTAAAAAAAGATGATATTGTTTTAAGGTGAAATTAAATTTACTCAACCACCTAATAAATAACTTAAAAATTAGAAAAACAAAACTTAAACCCAATATGCGATAGGAGGGGAGCTGATCTAAAGCTCGTAAAACCGAAGTGGGTCATGATAGTCTCTGCTCACACACGTGGCAAAGAGATATGCATCCATGTGTCATCTCCTCAAATGGCTAACCTAAGCCGTATCCTCTTACATGTGCCATCCATCTTTTGTATAGCTGAGTCACCTTCTTCTTTGTACAGCACCAACACGTTGCTCCATGCACCAACACATGTCAACTCCATGCACACCCCACCTCCATTTCTTCAAGCCGCCAGCGGCCATTGCCTCTCCCTTTTTAACGCCAATCTTCTCCTCTCCTCTCCATTCCTATCCCAACACCAAATCAAATAGTCATACATACAGTTCTCATACATTACCCACAAAGAAAAGAAAGAAAACTCAAGGAGATCTAGTTGACTTTGTTACCTTCTTGAAACATTAGCAGCAATGGCATCTGAGCAATCCAGGAGAGAGAACGCTACAAGTGAGAGAGAGAATTATGTGGTGAGAGAAAGAGTCCCAAAAATGGCTAGCCATTTTGAGTCTTTGATAGAGAAACCAAAAGAATCAGTTGTCAAAGAAAACATCGGTGAAGGTGGCAATGAAACGGGAGCCCAGTACTTTGAGTCTCTTGCTGACAAAATGAGAGGAGCTAGGGTGGATGTTTCTGGTGACAAAGAAAGGGAAAGAAGAGAAGAAGAACAAGAACAAGAAAGGAAAGCAAGAGAGGGTTATTCTGCTGGAAAATCTAAAGTGGAAGGGGGTGGAAAAGAAACCGAAGGCAAACAAGAGGAGAATGGTAGTGATCGAAACAAAGAGCACCAACTTTCCCTCGATGAAATAACGAAGTTAAGAGAAACGGCGCAAAAAAATTCGTTCGAGGCTTTAAAAGCAGCTGAAGAAAGATATGAGAAAGCAAAAGAGAAGGCAAGCCGAGTTGTGGGTTCTGCAACTAAGATTGTGAAAGAGAAATTTCCTCAAGCAAAAAACACTTTTGCTGAGAAGGCTGCACAACCTAAAGACATTGCTGCGGAGAAGGCCGCACAAGCCAGAGACATTGCTGCACAGAAGGCTGCACAACCTAAAGACATTGCTGCGGAGAAGGCCGCACAAGCCAGAGGCATTGCTGCACAGAAGGCTGCACAACCTAAAGACATTGCTGCGGAGAAGGCCGCACAAGCCAGAGGCATTGCTGCACAGAAGGCCACACATACAAAGGACATTACTGCACAGAAGGCAGCACAAGCAAAGGACACTCTAGTTGAAGGGGCTCAAAAAACTACTCATTATATCGCAGAGAAGGGAGCACAAGCAAAAGACACCATTGTTGAAGGTGCTAAGAAAACTTCAGAGTATGTTGTAGAGAAGAGCAAAGGGGCCATGAGTTATACAGTAGAGAAGGCAGTAGCAGCTAAAGATGTGACTGTCGAAAGTGGCAAAGAGGCCGCTTGTTATGTAGAGAAAGTGGCCGTGGATGTGAAAGACAAGGCCGCTGCAGCTGGATGGACTGCTGCTCATTACACAACTGAAAAAGCTGTGGAGGGGACTAAGGCAGCAGCGAGGGCAGTAGAGCATGCAGGTCAGAAGACTGCCGAGCTTGCAGGGAAGCCATTGGGAGCTGCTAAAGAGACTGCTGCATCTACTGGTGAAAGTATCAAGAAGTATACAGCTAGGAAGAAAGAGGAGGCCGGGAGAGAACTTGAGGCCCGAAAAGCTGCAGAAGGACAGGTATAATTCACAGAATAGTGCATGTCTAAGTTCTTTAAGTTTATGATGCTTAATTGAAGCTCGTGTTTCCAATTGAACTGATTCCACTATAGGTTAAAAAGAGAGAGAAAAGATTGATGCTTAATTGAAGCTCGTGTTTCCAATTGAACATGTGAAAAATGTAGACTAGATGATTGCATTTGTACTTAATTGCAATAGAAATTGAATTTGTGTTGCCTATTGAGGATGATTAGAGGAGTTTCCAGGGAGGAGAATTCAGGGAAGAATCACAAGTTCATGCAACAGGAGGTCAAGGAGCAGAGGAAGGGAACGTCACAAAGAAAGTCGCCCCAGAAGGCGACGAACAAGAAGATTAACAATATTGGCGGCTTCGACAGCGACAAGAGGGAAGCAGCATACTGGGCACCATTGGCGAAACTATAGCGGAGTTTGCTCAAGCAACCAAAGATCTAGTTATTGGGCA